TCAGGGTTAACTCATCGTATGTTTTATAATTTTCATTAATGTGAGAATACAGAGTTACAATCCTCTTTCTTTTATAACAATTTAAATGGATCATTTATAAACAAGACAAAAATACATTTAAAAAAAAGGAGATCGATGACAGAGCCAACAACGGTGATGGGTAGTGATAGAGAGTGGTCAATGATGAGTTGACGAGGGGTGGAAATGGTTTAAATCACGTTGGATTTAGGAACGATAAAAATGATTTAGAGTTTTTTTTTATTTTAAATTTTCTTTTGGGTTAAAAGAAGTTTATTGGGTTTCTTCTAGACTTTTCGAAAATAATATCTAAGGATGGTGATTTGCCTCGACCCGATGAGGAATCCAACTCACCGACCCGTACAGGGACGGGGATTCCTTGCTAAAACGGGTCCCAGGGCCGGGGGATCCCTGGTAGATTCAAATTGGGGGCGGGCCGGAGGATGTTACTCAAAACAGGGTCAAAGAGAAACAGATTTATTCTATACTCGATAAGTACCAATACGCAATGGGGAGGTTAATGCCATTTTATATGAGCGAATGTACCCATACTTGTTCATCATTAGAGGACACTATTCGTAAGAATTTTCCCTTATTTTTTATGATTTTCTTTATAAAATTTTCTAATCTATGAATAAAATATGATTAGGATAAAGTACAATATTATAAAGATAATAAAGCCTTTATTACGTTTCCACATCAAATGATGTTACTCAAACTAGGGTTGGGAATCCCCGGTAGACTCAAACTAATGAATATTTTTCATGGGGTTTGACCGGAGGTTTATCGGGGTATAACCGGGGTTTGACCGGAGACATGATGTTAATCTCCGTACCCAATAGGGACCGGGACTCAAGGGCTATTACTAAAAACTAAGGTCGGGGATTACAAAACCTACCTCATCCCCATCCCCGCCCCGTTGCCATGCCTAATCATATTCTCTCTCCAAATTAAGTGTCCATAATTGAAAAAACACACAATTTTAACATGCATAATTATTATACTTTTTAATTAATCAAATGATATTTTTACTCTTATTTAATTTATCTTTGTTCACAACTCTTAAATATATGTATATATACATTAATTAATTAAAGGATAATTTAGTAATTTACTAAATGGAGACTTACAACTTTGTGATTTAAAACAAAACTAAAATAAGTAATGAATAAGATATAATAAGAATGCAAGAAGCATGAGGCATAAAAAATTATATTTAATTATTGCATGCAACATACATTATTTCCACTGCAAATGCATTCATTGATGCAATCCAAAATATATATATATATATATATATATA